CTAGAACTTTCTTTAAGCTCTTCATGGTCTTTTCAGAGTCCCGTCCTTGATCAGAAGAAATCAAAAGGTATGAGTACCCCTGTCTGGGTGGGGTCTTAGAAATCTTTCCAGGGCTAGGCAGGACCCCTCAAGTGCACACATGCTTCCTTTACCACAGCCTTTCTGGAACCACAGACCCTTGCTTCTTGCCTAGGCCTCTTGCTAGCTCCGAGACTGTGAGAATGTACCCTCTGATCTTCAGTTTCATCTCATATGATGTGTGTTTTGTGTGTGTGTGTGTGTGAGAGAGAGACAGAGAGACAGAGAGGGAGGGAGAGAGAGAAAGAGGAAGAGAGACCCAGAATTGTGTGTTCTACTACTAAGCTATATTTGCAGCTTCTCTAAAGTCAGAGTCACTGTACCTGAGGACATTTGTGACTGTGAACCCAGAGTATGAGTTTGAACAGTTCTACTGGGATCCCCATGACAGCAGGTAGACTTAGGGAGGGGTACTTGCGGGCACCATATCAATATGCTCTGCTGTGTTGGGGCAGGTGTGGCCACAAGGTTGAGCCGCAGGCGGGTGTCCTGCCGGGAGCTGGGCCTCCCAGACTGTGATGGATGGCTTCTACTACGCAAGGTACCCAGTGGCTTTATGGGCCCACGCTGGCGCCGCTGCTGGTTTGTGCTCAAGGGACACACCCTGTACTGGTACCACCAACCCCAGGTGAGACCCCATGCATACTTGCATAGGTGACATGTAACTTAAGGCCACCATTCTTATCTCTGTTTTACACAGGGGAGCCCCATAATTCCCATTTGTAAAGCGGGGGTGGCTCTTGGTAGATAAATCAGCTCATAGTGTGTAAAAGAAGGTTGTAGGGGCCAGGAAGGCTGGTTGAGCAGTTAAATACTGGCTGCTCTTGCAGAAGACTGGCATTTAGTTCCCAGCACTCACACGGTAGCTCACAACTGTCTGTAACTCCAGCTCTAGGGGATCTGATGCCCTCTTCTGACCTTGGTGGACACCAGGCACACACATGTGGCACATAGACATGCATCAGTCTGGGCCACTTAGCAAGTTTCAGGCTAACCCAAGCAGCAGAGTGAGACTCATGTCTCAGAAAAAAAAGGCCAGTACGTAAAGGTGCATGTCGCCAAGTCTGATGATTTGAGTGTAATACCCACATGGCCTGGCAAGTTGTCCTCTGATCTCCATGTGTCTTGTGGCATGTGTGGGCAGGCATGCACGTGCGTGTGCACACACACCACACACACACACACACACACACACACACACACTGAGCATATAAATACAAAACACTTTTTAAGTGTAGGGAAAATCAATTTTACCCTCCCTATCCCTCCTCTCCTCTGCTATTCTATCTATCCTGGTGATGGGCCATTCAATCTCATATTCTCTCAGTAGACATTCAGGTGCCTACTGCACCCAGCTCTGAGCTAGAGCCCTGGGGACACAGGGAAGATATGGATAGTCCCTGCCCCTCTTGTAACTTAGAGACCCATGGGGAAAAGGGCTGTATACATCTTAAGACAATGGGTCATGTGCTAGGATGAAGGGAATCCCAGGCAATGTGTGGGAGCCCAGCAGAGGTGTCTGATTTAGTTCAAGAAGTCTAGAAGCTTCTTGGGAAAACCATGTTTGGATGTTTGTCAGGTGAAAGGGAAAAGGAAAGCCAAGAAGGGAAAAGGCTTGGGACACAAAGCGCTCCTGGGAGAGGGCCTGTCTGAGCAGGCTCCTCCCCTTTGGCTGTTTTTCTGGGCACCTTTGCTCTCCTTTCCCTGCTCAGAGGTGCCCTTTGGCCACACCTCCCGCCCTGAGCTCCAGAAACCCAGACAGGGAGCTGGCTGAGTCTGAGGACTTGGCTCCCCTGCTGACCCTTGTGCTGTGATTCCCCCAGGATGAAAAGGCTGAGGGACTTATCAACCTCTCCAACTACAGTCTGGAGAGTGGACATGACCAGAAGAAAAAATAGTTAAGTCTTGGAATGGGATGGAAGGGGGAGAAAAGGGAGAGGAAGGGAGGAGGGGTGGGGTGAAGGTGAGGTGAGGCGGGTGGCGGGATTCCTGATCTAGCCTCTCCCTGGGTTCTGGATGGGCATGCCCAGAGGACGCTGTGACTGTTTTCTGCTCTCTGGCAGTGTGTTCCAGCTGACCCATGACGTGTACAAGCCCTTCATCTTTGCTGCTGAGACCCTGTCTGATCTGAGCATGTGAGTGCCACTCCTACTTTCCGGCTCCCATGTAGTCCCCAGCCTCCATGTGCTTGAGAGCTGGGCTCAGGGGACTCAAACCCCAGCCCTGGGGAAGCCTCGGTTTCATTATCTGCAGAATGGGCAAAGGAGAGTTCCTACCTCAGTTGCTCTCTGAGGGTCACATCTGTGGATCTGGGACATGGCGGCTCACCCCTCTAAATCCAGCACTTAGGAAGCTAAGGCAGGAAGATTGCAAGGATGAGACCATTGAGAGTTTCAGGCCAACCACGGCAATATAGTACGACACAGTCTCAAGAAAACAGGAAGGAGAGCAGAGGATATAGCTCAGTGTGGAGCACTTCCTTACACTCAGGCTCCAGGACCATAGAAAAAAGTGTAAGGAAAAAAAAAAAAAAAAAAAAAAAAAAAAAGATGATGTAGGTAGAGGGTGGAAAGCCAGGATATAAGTGGGCTGTAGTGAACGGAAGCCTCACGACCCACATGCTCCTCTACAGGTGGGTGCGTCAACTCATTACCTGCATTTCCAAGTACCAGACTCCAGGCCGGGCCCCCTCTGCCAGAGAGGAAGGTGAGTGTATCAGAGAATGGAAGAAGGTGTCCAGCCATCACTGAGTTCCTGCCTTTCCCAGGCTGGGTGCTGGAACTCAAATCCCCTGGCCCACTTCCTGGCCTAGCCAAAGCCACTCTGTGGTTCTCCAACTCCCCACTTTAGATTGCTACAGTGAGACAGAAGCGGAAGACCCTGACGATGAGGCTGGCTCTCGCTCAGCTTCAGTGAGTAGTCACTTCAGGTTAGGAGGTAGGGGCTGGATTGCTGGAAGTGGGGGGCTGCAGATAAGCCTCTCTCCTTCTGCCTTAACACAGCCTGGCCCAGCTCCAACTTGGAGTGACACATCACCCGTGGCTTCACCCTTGCAGAGTCCAAGGACGTCTTTTGGCTCTTCAGCAGGTGCTACCCGGGGAGTAGGGACTGGGCTGCAGAGATGACCTGATTATGTTCACTGTTCTCATCCCGCATTCTACTCCCACAGACAGCAGTGACAGGGTCCTGGAAGGAATGGTACAGGGGCTGAGGCAGGGGGGCGTGTCCCTCCTGGGGCAGCCACAGCCCCTGACCCATGAGCAGTGGCGGAGCTCTTTCATGCGTCGCAACCGTGACCCTCATCTCAATGAGCGAGTGCATCGTGTGCGGGCACTACAGAGCACACTCAAGGTGAGCTGGGAGCTGGGGCATGGGAGGGATGAGGCTCTGGGAGCACTGGGCATGGGAGGGATGAGGCTCTGGGAGCACTGGGCATGGGAGGGATGAGGCTCTGGGAGCACTGGGCATGGGAGGGATGAGGCTCTGGGAGCACTGGGCATGGGAGGGATGAGGCTCTGGGCTTCAGGCCCTGGTGTTCGGCCCCCAGCTCTACTGTGAGCTTCAGACTGTAACAGACTGAAGACTCTAAGCCCTGGCTTTCCAATTCTAAGGTCCAGTTCTGGGCTCCATATTCCATTGGAGACTCAACTGTGTCCTAAGCGAAGTTCTAGAAGGTTCTGTGTGCAGACACCAGATACCAGACTCTTGGACCAGGGTGTCCTGGTGATGGGAACAGGACTTTAAGAGTTAGTTCTGGCTTCCGTCCCTCCTTGGGTGACCATATAGCAGTGTCCCTACTCTCGCCTCAGGCAAAGCTGCAGGAACTGCAGGCCCTGGAGGAAGTGCTGGGTGACCCTGAGCTCACTGGAGCGAAGTTCCGCCGGTGGAAGGAACAGAACCAAGAGCTGTACTCCGAGGGCCTGAACACCTGGGGAGGGACACGGGCCCAGAACAGCTTCCCAGCCCCAACCTCTGACCTGCCCTCTGGCCCTGAGGAGCCCTCCCAGCTTTTTCCACTGAGCCCAGAGAACAGGCTCCATCCTCCTGACCTCTGACCTTGGCTAGGGCCTGGCTCCTGACCTCTGACCCTGAGGACTACTTCATCCCCAGCCTCTGATGTGTCTAAGACAGCATGCCCAAGGGTTCTGTGTGAGGCTGGAAGAAGTCCATGTCCTTGGCTAACCCCCAAACTGATCCCCCATCCTGGGCGTCCACAGTTTCTGCTTGTGTCCACTGGAGTGGAGGGAAAGCGATCCTCCTCTGTGATGTAGAAATAAATCCCCTAACCTATTCTCAGATCTGGGACATACCTGCCTCCCTGGGTCCTTCAAAACAGTTTCCCAGACCAGGTCTGGGTATTTATTTTACATGAGAGATGCTTCTCTATCAAATAAAGTTGATTTCTCCAAAATCAACCCAAGTGTCTTTGCTTTAGAACTGAGAATCTGCACACCACCTCCACCACCACCACACAGGGTGAAGAGCTGTCAGGCTAGAGTGAACACTTTCTGTCACAGGGTGGGTGACAAGTACCCTGTGTAGCTCATTACCCTGAGGTATATACTCAGGACTCCTGTGGTCTCGCATCCTTTTGCCAGTCTCTCCTTAGTCCTGGGAGGTCAGACCTGCTCCCCTATCCTATAGCCCCAGAGAAGGACACTCACTCAGTAAATGAGAAAATTTACCTTCCTAGAAGGGATGGGTGGGCAGCTGTGGGATGGTAGCTGAAGGCAAGGGGCCCTGGGCATCTTCCCCTTCACCCAGTCTCACCTGTAGTACCTGGGTCCAGAAAGAGGACCTGGATGGCGGGGGAGTCCAGACCTAATGCTGGTGGCTGAATACCTGGTTCCTTCGTGAGGTATCTAGTGGGAGGAGCTTCTTCTTTTTTTTTTTTTTAAATCAAGTTGGAATGTCTTGGTGGAATGCAGAAGGCTTTGGCTAACAGTCGCCTCTGTGATCTCACCACAAGGGGGGACAAAGACTGGCTGCAGCAAAGCTTCTTTGAAAGAGAAGGGGACAGAGCCAAGATGTCTGAAAACCAAAACTGGGGGCAGCAGCGGCCAGAAACCGGCACTGCCCAACAGTCAAACATGAAGGTAGGGAGCCCCTGCCTGGCGCTGCCACCAAGCTGGCATCCTGGGTTGGGCAGGGGCAGTACCATATTGAAGGCCTGCTCCTATCCGCTGTAGAGAAACACCTATGAAGTCATGGGCCACGAGGAGCAAGTGCTCATCAACCGCAGGGACATTACAGATAAGAAGGTAAGGAAAGGAAGAAGATGGAGACAGGCATGGTGCAGACCCAGGTGACCGCCTTCCTGTAGTTCCCTTCTGCAGCCCCCTGCCTGAGGACATTCTCCAGGAGCTAGTGTCCATGGAAGTGAAGTGACCCCTCACAGGAACACCTATATTGTGGTAGCCACTCACCAGCCGATACCCCAAGGCCCCAAAGACCCCCAGTGGTCACCTCTTTCCATGACCATTTGTTGCGACTTCTTTACTGAAATCAACATTCCATGAACACAGGCAACAACATCACCCTCCAGGGAAGACCCCGGGGTATACTCCCATCCTCAGGGATTAGGGAGCAAATAGTTCAGGTAGAGGCTGCCTGTGGTGACACCTGCCTGAAGGAAGGTCTCCATCCGCTCCCAGGATGCTTGGGACATGCAGGAGTTCATCACCACCATGTACATCAAGCAGTTGCTTCGACATCCGGCCTTCCAGCTGCTGTTGGCCTTGCTGCTGGTGACCAACTCCATTACCATTGCTATTCGGACCAACTCTTTCCTCGGTCAGGTGGGATGTTGCTGGCCTGATCCCTACCCCCACTGGCTCTGACCTGGTTTGAGGTGCTTCCTTCTCAGGCCCTTGGCTCCTTGTCTGTGTATGATGGTCGGATTGGATGTTCTTCAAAAGTCTGGTCACCAAATGGGCCTGGAATAGCAAATCTTTAATCCCAATGCTAGGGAGGCAGAAGCAGCCAGATCTCTGTGAGTTAGAGGCCAGCCTGGTCTATGTAGCAGGTTCCAGGCTAAGCAGACTGCATAGTGGGATTATGTTCAATTAAGTAAATACATAAGAAGTCTGTCTCTGTGACCTTCATGGGATCTATAAGTCAAGAATGACTTCTTGGGATAGAGAGATGGCTCTGGCTAAGAGCACTTGGAGCTGCTCCAAAGGACCCGAGCTTGGTGACTGAGTATGGATCTCCAGAACCTGAATAAGAGCTAGATAGCATGGTTTGGTATAGGTCTATGATCCTAGCCCTCCTATGTAGACATGAGAAGTAGGGACAGCAGAATTCCACTCCACCCCCAAAGTTCTCAGGCCATTTAGCCTGGAGCCCTCACCATGATGGCAAACAATAAGAGGGACCCTGCCTCAAGGCAGATGGAGGAAAATCACCACCACCCAGCTAGACCAATACTCTTTCTTCCTTCCTTCCTTCCTTCCTTCCTTCCTTCCTAACATACTAATCCCAGTTCCCCTTCTTCCCCTCTTCCTGCTTCCTCCCACCCTCCCCTCATCTCACCACCCCCCATCTGCTCCTCAAAGAGAGTAAGGCCTCCCATGAGGAGTCAACGAATTCTGTCCATCACCACATTGAGGCAGGACCAGCCCCTCCCCACACCCCCAACCTAGGCTGAGCAAGGTATCTCTCCATAGGAAATGGGAGTGAAAAGTCCAGTTCATTCCTTAGTGATAGCTCCTGGTCCCATTGCCAGTGGCCCCACACATTGCCCAGGCTTCCCACCATCATGGGCATTCAGGGGGCCTAATTCAGTCCTATGCAGGTTCCCCAGTTGTCAGTCTGGAGTCAGGAGCTCCCACTAGTTTGAGTCAGCTGTTTCTGTGGGTTTTCCCATCATGGTCTTGACCCCTTTGCTCATATTATCATTCCTCCTCCTCTTTGACTAGACTCTGGGAGTTGTGTCCAGTGGGTAGCTGTTAATCTCTGCATCTGCTTCAGTCAGTTACTGGATGAAGGTTTCAGGAAATCATGTCTATTTCCCCTTTCTATAGACCAATACTCTTTTTTATTTATTTATTTATTTATTTATTTATTTATTAATTAATTAATTTTTGAGACAGGGTTTCTCTGCAACTTTGGAGGTTGTCCTGGGACTTGCTCTGTAGACCAGGATGACCTCAAACTCACAGATATCTGCCTGCCTCTGCCTCCTGAGTGCCGGGATTAAAGGTGTGCACCACCACTGACTAGACCAATACTCTTAAGGTTGTTCTCTGATCTCCGTAAACACACTAAGGCATAAATTCTTGTACAAACACACACACACCATACATACTCACAGAGATTTTTAAAAAGGGAGAAAAGAACAGAACATTAGAACTTGCTGAGGTGGCTTACACAGTGCTCCTAGCAATAAGGGAAGTGCCTTGAGTTTAAGACAAACTTAGGTTACATAGTACATTTGAAGCCAGAGTAGGCTTTATGATACCTGTGTAAGAAAGAAAGGAAGAGAGGGAGAGGAGGAGACGGGGGGGGGGGGAGGGAGAAGGGGAGGCGAAAAAAGAAACAGTGAGAGAATTCTTTCTGTGTGTCCAACTAGAGAGCCCAGGCTTGCCTCAGACCTGCCATGTAGCCCAGGCTGCTCTCAAACTCATGGCAGTCCTGCCTTCATCTTGCAAGAGCTGAGATTACTGACGCCCCACATGTGATAGATTTCTCGTTTTGTTTTAGATTTTATTTGTTTGTTTGTTTAGTTATTTTGAAATAGGCTCTCAGTATAAGGCCCAGCCTGGTCTCAAACTTTATGACCCTCCTGCCTCAAGTATGTGACTGCTGGAATTACAGGTATATGCCACCATGCCTGATGAAGTTTAATTTGCTTTTTCATTTATTTGTTTGTTTTTTAGACGGGGCTTCATATAGCCCCAAATGCCATCCAACTCAGTATACATATAGCTGAGCACAAATTTGAGAGCCTGCAGCTTCCTCCTAAGACTTAAGACTTAAGTGCTTGGAATCCAGGTGTGAGTTATTATAGCTAGCAGTTTTATTTCTTATGAGGTGTGTGTGTGTGTGTGTGTATGCTGTTTAAATGCAGTATGTCCAGGCATGAGATGATGGATGAGTTCAGAAAGGCAGTCAGTGGCCAGATCACATATTGGAAAGGCAGGAAAGGATTTAAACAGCACTGTAGTGAAATGACTATATGCATTTTAGAAAACACATTTTAGAGATGGCTCAGTGGTTAAGAGCACTTGCTGCTCTTGCAGAAGATAGGGATTTGGTTTCCAGAACTACATTTGGCAGCTTACAGTTGCCTGTAACACAAGTCCCAGAGATCTGACATCCTCTCTTGGCCTCCAAAGGCATCTATAGCATCTAAATGTGGTACTGTGCATACAAACTAGCATGCACACATACATATTTTTAAAAGAAAAGAATCTTTTAAAAAATGTTCATTGGTGTTTTGCCTGCATTTGTGTCTGTGTGAGGGTGTCAGATCCTCTGGGACTGGAGTTACAGACAGTTGTGAGCTGCCATGTGGTTGATGGTAATTGAACTCAGGTCCTCTGGGGAAAGCAGCCAGTGCTCTTAACTGCAGAGCCATCTCTGCAGCCCCAAGACTTTTTTTTAATAAAAGGCACAGGGCTCCCAGTGTGAGCCATGCAATGAAGACGGCCAAGAATGACAGAAGATGGACCAACACTGGGTCAAAGATTCCCAGGTAAAAGATACTGTGATCTCTCCCAGGACAATGGAACTGGGTGAGAGGAGCCACTGAGTCCCATCCACGGGTTCCTTTACTTCCTCCCCATGGTACTTGGATTGAGCTCAGGGCCTTGCCCATGCTAGGCTAGCATTATACCACTGGCCTATGTCCCCAGCCCCATGGGCTTTTCTGATGATTTACATTGCAGTTAATATTTAGTGAGCCTTTACTATGTGCCAACCATGTTATGCATGTAGACAAAGAGACTGCAGGAAGTTGAGTTTGTGACATGAGCAACACTGTGGTACGGGCTGGTAATGTGTGTTTGGACGTGGGGACATAGGAGGAAAAGCTTTAGAGAAGAATGCAGGGGTCAGAACAAGACGTATGAAGTGCTATCGAGTGTCCATATGGGGACAGCCAAGGGAGTTGATAAACCTAAAAGACTGCAGGCACCAGCCAGGCAGTGGTGGCGCATGCCTTTAATCTTAGAACTCAGGAAGCAGAGGCAGGTGGATCTTTGTGAGTCTGAGGCCAGCCTGGTCTACAGAGCGAGTTATAGGACATCCAGGGCTACACAGAGAAACCCTGTCTTGAAAACATAACAAACGGAAGACTGCTGGTACACAGGGCGGGAGATGGACACTTCATAGCTGCCAGTGTCTAGGGTTTAAGGCTGAGTGGAGATGGCATACAGAGTGAAGGCAGGAGAGGCCCAGACAAGTTCCCAATAGAGGGTGGGACTGGAGGAGGAGGTGGAAAGGGGACTGAGAGGCCATGATCCACAGCAAATAGGGCTCAGGAGAGGACAGAGAGGCAAAGGGCTGGGCATGGAGAGAAGTGGGCCTGACAAAGACTAGATGTTCCTCAGAGTTAGTGCCCTGGCCTCCCCAGAGCCAGGTGGATGGAGGCAGCAACTCACCTTTGTAGCTTGCACAGCGAGGACAGCGGAGGTCCATGCACAAGCCATTGTTGGGTAATGCATGCAAGTGCCCAGCATTCTCATAGTGAAATATAGTTGGGGAGACAAAAAGAGAGAAGAGAGGGAGGTGGAGGGAACAGAGGGAGCAGCATTACAGTCTTTCTCTTTCATTGTGTGTATGTGTGTATGTGTGTGCATGTGTGTATGTGTGTGTATGCGTGTATGTGTGTATGTGTATGCATGTGTATGTGTATATGTGTGTGCACATGTATGCATGTGTGTGTATGTGTGTGCATGTGTGTATGTGTGTGCATGTGTGTATGTGTGTGCATGTGTGTATGTGTGTGTGTATGTATGTGTATGCTTGTGTATGTGTATATGTGTGTGCGCACATGTATGCATGTGTGTATATGTGTGTTTGTATGTGTGTATGTGTGTATGTGTGTGCACACATGTGTGTATATGTGTGTTTGTATGTGTATGCATGTGTGTGTATGTGTATTCGGGTGTGTATACGTGTGTGTATGTGTATGTATGTGTATGTATGCATGTGTATGGGTGTGTATGCATGTGTATATATGCATGTGTGTGTGTGTGTGTGTCTGTGTATACATGTGGAGGTCGGAGGACAACTTGCACAAGTCAGCTCTCTCCTTCCATTGTGGGATTCAACTAAAGTTGTCAAGTTTGATGGCAAGTACCTCTACCCACTGAGCCATCTTGCCAATACCCGAGGACCATTGTGTGAAGGGTTAAAAACAGCTCTCATTATGGGTCTCAGCCCAAACTGCTGGATCTGGGGCTGAGAATGTAGTTAGTTCAGTTGGTAAATCAGAAATTCAAGGTCATCCTTGGCTACATAGTTTGAGGGCAGCCTGGGCTACATGAGATCATTTCAAAACATATAGTAGAACAGGAAAAATAAAACAAAGCCTGAAACCCTAGTGTGGAGTTTGTGACTATGAAGACCAGACCCAAGAAGCCTTCAGGTGGGTCAGTAGTGAGTGTGGATAGCAGGAGGCTGGGGTGAAGGCCGGGTGCACCTGGGTCCCCAATTCCCCATCTGTGAGATGTGACAGAAAAGGAAAGTACATTTCAAAACAGTGTTGACAGTCTCATGACAGTGCATGAACAGACTTAGCACTGCCTGGCATATGTGCAGAGAGTGTGCGCTAAGGAAGAAAGTGTCCTGTAAAGAAACGTAGAGAGATGCTAAGGGGTAAGAGTAGATGGGGTACCCCCCACATCCTCTCCAGCCCTCCAAACCCTCTCTCCAGCCCCCCACCCTCTCTCCAGCCCCCACCCTCTCTCCAGCCCCCCACCCTCTCTCCAGCCCCCCACCCTCTCTCCAGCCCCCCACAATCCTCTCCAGCCCCCCACCCTCTCTCCAGCCCCTCCCTCTGCAGCCCCCCCTCTCCAGCCCCCACCCTCTCTCCAGCCCCCCACCCTCTCTCCAGCCCCCCACCCTCTCTCCAGCCCCCCACAATCCTCTCCAGCCCCCCACCCTCTCTCCAGCCCCCCACCCTCTCTCCAGCCCCCCTACACAACCCTCTCTCCAGCCCCTCCCTCTGCAGCCCCCCCTCTCCAGCCCCCCCACCCTCTCTACAGCCCCCCACAATCCTCTCCAGCCCCTCACCCTCTCTACAGCCCCCCACACCCTCTCTACAGCCCCCCACACCCTCTCTACAGCCCCCCTACACAACCCTCTCTCCAGCCCCCCACAATCCTCTCCAGCCCCCCACCCTCTCTCCAGCCCCCCACAATCCTCTCCAGCCCCTCACCCTCTCTACAGCCCCCCCACCCTCTCTACAGCCCCCCTACACAACCCTCTCTCCAGCCCCTCCCTCTGCAGCCCCCCCCTCTCCAGCCCCCCCACCCTCTCTCCAGCCTAGCACAGATCCTGCTCACTGAAGCCTCTGCTCCTCTTTTTCTGTCTCCCACGTAGAAACACTATGAGTTGTTCTCCATCATAGATGACATTGTGCTGACCATCCTTATCTGTGAGGTTCTCCTCGGCTGGCTCAATGGCTTCTGGGTTTTTTGGAAGGTAAGGTCTTGAGAATTCCTGTCATTACCCTCACTTTATCCCTCCTTGGTGTTTGAAGTCTTTGTCCTGCAAAACAGTTTGTACGGAGTGTAGCAGTGCAAGGGAGTGGGGAGGATTTCAGAGACGGCTGTGACTGGGCCGAATGTCAGTTGTTCAGAAAGAGACCCCTCCATGTGTTTGAACCCCTGCTCTTGCCTCCCTAGAGCCTCTCTACTCAGGCAAACCCTGGTTTCTGTATCTCAGAAATGGAATCAAGGACTTGAGAGTATCTATCTTAATTTACTGATTCTAGATCAGGACTCCATAAACTTTTTCTGTAATGCAGTAATTTGTTTTGTTTTGTTTGAGACAGGGTTTCCCTGTATAGTCCTGGCTGTCTTGGAACTCTCTCTATAGATCAGGCTGACCTTGAACTCATAGAGGTCCGCCTGCCTCTGCCTTCCGAGTGCTGGGATTAAAGGCATCACCACCACCGCCCGGCTCGGTGATTTGTATTTTAAGTTTCATAGGCTCTAGCCCCTGTTGTAACAACTCACTTCTGTCAGGAAGCCCAAAGCCTAGCCAGAGCACGGATAGATGGGAGTGGCTGCATCCAGCATAGCTTTCCCCCAGGTGTGTTGATGAGCTGTGTGTGTTTGTTTGTTTGTTTTAGGGTCTTGCTATGCTGCCCAGGCTGACCCCAAACTCCTGAGCTCTAGCTATCCTCTTACCTCAGCCTCCCAGTGATTGGCTCTAGTCCAATAAGACTCCACTTGCACCAAGCACTGTGATCCACACTTATAATCCCAGTAGTCTGGAGGCTGAAGTAGAAGGGTCAGGGTTTCAAGGCCTACCTGGGCTAGGTAGTGGGACACCGTACCAGAAAACAAACAACCCACTTCACATTTCATGTGTGGACACTGCAATTTGAGTTTTGTGTAATTTTCACACGTGTTGACTTCTTGGGATGTCTTCTCTTCAGGAAGTCTCTCCCAGGGTAGGCTTTTGCTGCTCTCGAGCTCCTTCCCAAGTTCTAGAAACTCCTGTGATAGAGTTAGTGTTTTCTATCCAACCCCCTCAAAAAGAGTCTGTGAGCTCAGCATGGCAAAATTTTGTATCCTCAGAAAATGGGTCAAGATATGGCACACAGCAGGAGCTTAATACTTAGTAGATATGTAGACTGGCCGGCCCGGTTGGGCTTTTTGTTTTGATTCCTAGTGCTGAGAACTGAACCAAGGGTCTCACCCTCACCAGGTACCTCAGTCACTGTCCTAATGCCCTGAGGAGACACCATGACCAAGGCTTAGTGTATAAAGAAAGCATTTACTGGGGGTTGCTTACAGTTTCAGAAGGTTAGTTCACAGTCGTTACAGAAGGAATCATGGAGTCAGGCCAGCAGGCGTGGTGCTGGAGCAGTAGCTGAGAGCTTTACATCCTGATCCACAGGCGGCAGAGAGAGAGAGAGAGACTGGTGACACTCCTTCTCCAATAAGGTCACATCTAATCCAAGAAGACCACACCTCCTAGTTCTTCCCAACCGTTTCACTCTCTGGTGACTAAGCAAATATATTAGCCTATGAGGGCCATTCTCATTTAGACCACCACACGTGGCTTACTTATTCATCTACTGTTACTCCCTGACCCTCTCTTTACTTTGAGACAAAGCCCCACTAAGTTTCCTAGGATGGCCCTGAGCTGTACTGTAGCCAGGGAAGCCTTGAACTTGTGACACCCTGAGTGGCTGGAATTACAGGAATTAATTCCACGGAGAGGCAAACTTACATCTCCCTGTGTGTGTGGTGTGTGGCACAGACTCTAAGCGGTGAGCAACGCTTGAGTTTATTGGATCATCTCTCAGATTCAAGAGCATCTGTCATTCAAATATAGTGTTCTTTTTGAGCATTTACTTCAGTCACTCACACATTGATCAAAACTCTATAGAAAGCCCTGCAGAGTCTCGATCTGAGCCTACCCCTCAGCCTCTTGCCTTCACTCACCTCTTAGGTAATCTTCTTATAGCCCATTTATCCTCCCAGCTGTTGTTTTATAATCCCAGGTGCACAGGCGTGTATTTTTAGCGCTCCCTTTTCTACAGCAGCCTACCATAAACAGTGCTTTGCATTTAGTTGGTACTTATGGGATCCTGGTAATCTTTCTGTATTAGTACATGATGAATATACAATAGCTTATTGTATCAGTCTCTCATTGCTGGGCACATTAGTTTTCAACTTCTTTTGCATTTATATATTTATTGTTTAATTTTTGAGACAGGGTAACACTATGTAACTCTAGCTGGCCTGGAACTCCCTCTGTAGACCATGCTAGCCTTGAACTCATGGAAATCTAATTGCCTTTGCCTCCAGAGTGCCGAGATTGAAGACATGTACCACCAGGCCTACCTACTTTAATTTTTATTAATTATAGTGTATGTCACACTTCACACTAAGGCAGGAGCATCCAGGAGTTTTCAAGTCACCTAATTATACATATCAAGTTATTGGCTAAGGGGCTAGCCTTGTAAAGGTTTTGGCCACTGAGAATGGTTGTTTTCATAGGTATAGGACTGTGATTGTGTGTGTTTGTGGCATGTCAGGGTGACAGCCAGGGGACAGAGGCTGGCTAGCTTTGTTCTTAGAACAACACTGAGTCTCCCAGTGTGGTAGGGCAGACAAGATGCTCCCATGGGCTTGACAGACACTTTTGGGCTGCTCCCCATTCAGGATGGCTGGAATATCCTTAACTTCTTAATTGTCATTATCTTGTTCATGGGGTTCTTCATAAAACAACTTGCTATTCCTGCTGTCACCTACCCCCTCAGGTGAGTTGAGAGCTCTGAAGGTAAGAGGGGTGTTTGGACCCCAGCAGTGAGAAGGGATGTTGTTGCCATCTGGGGCTCAGCTCTGCCTCTTTGGGAAGTCAGTGGGAGGGAGGCAACAAGGAGGAAGGGGCCTGGGAAGGGTCAAGGGGCGCCCCTGAGAGGCTCTACCACAGGGCACTTCGGCTGGTACATGTGTGCATGGCAGTGGAACCCCTAGCCAAGATCATCAGGGTCATCCTGCAGTCAGTGCCGGACCTGGCTAACGTCGTGGCCCTCATCCTCTTCTTCATGCTGGTCAGTACCCCCCCCCCCCAGCCTGTCTGCTTCCCTGAATAGGACCTGTAGGGTAGTGGGTGGGGATGGATGCCCAGAGAAGCAAGATGCTTGGGTCTCAATCCTTGTGGGTCCCTGGAAGCATTTATTTGCATTAATTAGCATGTCTTGTCAAGTTCCAAGGCCACTGGGTGAGGTTAGGTGGGTTTGGTCTCTTTGACAGGTGTTCTCTGTGTTTGGGGTCACACTCTTTGGTGCATTCGTGCCCAAGCATTTCCAAAACATGGGGGTCGCCCTGTATACCCTCTTCATCTGCATCACCCAGGATGGATGGCTGGACATCTATAGCGACTTCCAGTGAGTACAGGTGGGGCTCTTGGGCTTCACCCCCTTCTGGCTAGGGCAGGGTTGGAGTTGCAGCAGATGAGGGAAACTATGAGAGGGGGCTCCTGGGACTTGGATGAAACTGGCTTCACAGGAAGTAAATACCCAAGGAAGTCATGGGGCAGGATCTTCGGCTTTGTGGTACTTGAACCTTGTTGTCATAGAAGCTTACACATTCACAGGGCCGCCCAACCCTCCCTGCTCATGGAGACATGCTGCATAGCTATGTGGCTCAACCTTGGGCCAGGGGGCAGGAAGGTGCTTGTACCTGAGGTTACTAGGCAGCCTCCAGCTTGCACGAGAGCACAACAGACCACCTAGAGTCCTGGGAAGTTTGGGGTTCCACCCACTCATTCTCAGACCTGCTCCCCAAGGTCATTTTTGTGTTCTATTCTTTGTTTCTTGTCTGTCAAGTTCAAGTCCAATTTCATTCCATCCCACTCCCCTTTGTGAAGTAGAAATCAAGTAGGCAAAGGGGTTCTTTAGTCACAGATGGTAGAAATCTCAGCATTCAAGAAGCAGAGGCAGGAGAATTAGGAGTTCAAGTTAATCATAGCCAACCTAGGCTGTAATAAGACCTTGTTCCAGGGCTGGAGAGATGGCTCAGTGGTTAAAAGCACTGGCTGCTTTTCTATAGGTCCTGAGTTCAATTCCCAGCACCCACATGGTGGCTCACAACCATCTATAATAAGATCTGGCTCCCTCTGGCCTGCAGGCATACATGCACTGCATACAAAATAAATAAATAAATATTTCAAAGAAGAAAAGGGCAGGGTGGGGGTGGGGAGTAGGAAGAAAGCCACCTGGGGATGGAACTTAGTTGGTAGTTTGTCTAGCCTAGGTTCAATCCCCAAAACCACAGAAACCAAGATTGGGGGCATTCAACTATACCGCACAGTTTGAGGCCAGCCTGGGCTAACTTGAGAATCAGTCTAATCCCCCCCCAAAAAACAACAAAAGCTGGCATAGTGGCACAAGCCTTTAATCCCAGCACGTAGAAGGCAGAAGCAGATGGTTGTCTATATGTATTCAGCCAGCCTGGTCAATATGGCCAATTTCAAACCAGAGTTACACAGTAAGGCTTGCCCTCAAAAAAACAAAACCCCAAAATATCACCAAACCAAAAACAACACAAAAGGTGGGGCATTAGAGCCCAGAGCAGGGTTACTTGGTGGCACACACCTTCAATCCCAGCACTGGGGAGAAAGAGGCAGTGGCTCTCTGAGTTCGAGACCAGCCTGGTCTATGTAAACTGTATAGTGAAGCTGTACTAGGCTTTTGAGCACTTTCCCCTGCACTGGCCCTGTGACATTCAACAAACTGTTCCATCGTTGGCCTCAAACTTGAAGTGATCTCCCTGCCTTAGTCTCCTCAGTGCTGAGATTATCGATGTGGGCCACCAAGACCAGTTTATGTATTCATTTACTCATGTATTGTGAAGTTCTGGGCCTTAGCATGCTAAGCAGGCCTTCTACTACTGAGCTATAGCTCCAACATCTAGCTTTTAAAAATTGGAGGGGTTTGATTTGTCTGTTTTATTTTCCTTTTTAAGTGGAGTCTAGTATAGCCCAGGATAGCCTGGGACTCCTCCTACTCCTCCCCCTTCCCAAATGCTGAGATGGTAGTCATGCACCACGGCTCCCATGCATACCATGCTGGGGCTTCCTGCATGCCAGGCAAACACTCTACCAATTAGAATTGTAGAGGTTTTATTTATTTATTTTTTTATTTTATTGACAGGAATTCAGGCTACCTCTACTTCCCGAGTGCTGGGATTCTGATCTTCAGTTTACTAATTCATAGTTAGACTATAGTGCAATGTTTGTGCTGGGATTCTGATCTTCAGTTTACTAATTCATAGTTAGACTATAGTGCAATGTTGCCTACCTTATAGAGGGCCATAGGAATCCGTCTAGAAATCTATAAAGTTCTTCTAGAATGCAGTTCAGCACAGAGTGCTTCTATTTATCATATGTGTAAGTGTGTAGCTTGCACTTGATAGTGTGACATACAAATCCCCTTGTAGACTGCTTTGAGAGTTGGCCTCGCTGTCTTGTTGCACAGCAAGTCTCAGTAAAGAGCTGCTTCTGCAACCAGCAGGAGTGGGAAATATAATTCCCTTGTTTTAAAGATGAGGAAACTGAGGCTTAAAGGGCCAGGGAAATGATGGAGCTCCTGACTGCCGTCCCCAGGATGGAGGATAGAGAGATTGCCATGGAAGTTGGAGGCGCCATCTACTTTGCCATCTTCATCACCATCGGTGCTTTCATCGGTCTCAACTTGTTTGTCGTTGTCGTGACCACAAATCTGGAACAAATGATGAAGATAGGAGAGCAGGGTCAACATCGACAGATAACTTTTAGTGAGGTGCATGGGATGGGTGAGGACAGGTGGGAGGAGAGTGTGTACATGGTGTGTGTGTGTGTGTGTGTGTGTGTGTGTGTGTGTGTGTGTGTGTGTGTGTATACAAGTGCATGGAGAAAGCCAAATCCAAAACCTGGAGGCAAGACCTCCACATATGTAATGTCCACTCGGTGACTGAGGCACCTGGGGGCTGGGTGTGGCTTCCTAGATGTGCCATGATAATTCAAAGCTGAGCAATGGGGTGGCATCAGGGCATTTGCCCAACTGTGTTCTGAAGTTCTTCCCTATGATGGGGATGATAACAGTAGTTGCTTGTCCAGACCTTCATGAGAATCATATAGGATCTGATGAGTGCTTGTAAGTAAGATCTGAATAAATGAACTGGAGAGCTGGCTCATTGGTTAAGAGCACTGACTGCTCTTGCAGAGGACCTGGGTTCAGGTCCCAGCATCCACATGACCACTCAACAATTGTTTGTAACTCTCATCCCAGGGAATCCACAGCCACCTTCTGATCTCCACAGGCATTGCATGTATATGGTGTCCTTATATACATGCAGGCAAAATATTTACACACATGAAAATAAATGTTGGCTGGGTGTGGTGGTACACGCCTTTAATCCCTGTAGAGACAGGTGGATCTCTTAGAGGTCAGCTTGGTCTTCAGAGTGAGTTCAAGCCAGGGGACAGAGAAACCCTGTCTTGAAAAGCAAAATAAAACAGACAAAGAAAATAAAGGAAGGACTTAATAAATGCTATCTATTCAGTATTTACTTGGTAAAACTTATAAAAGGTGGGGAGGGAAGTGAAATACTTTGGAAAAGTCAGAAGGCCAGACCATCATCACTTCAGAGTGGGTGGGGTTTTAATGGTTTCCTGGGGTGACAATTTCCAAAGAGATTCAAGAGGGGCTTGAAACTGGGTTATCACAGCCAGGTAGGGAGGTTAAGATTGACTGCAGCTATGGTAGGGTGTTTGCCTAGCTGGCTGGAGGTCCTCGGTTCCATCCCTAGCATGCACAGATAAAATAACAAAATAAAATAAAATACACTGTTATAATAAGGTTAAAAGTCCTAAGAGACTCATCTTCCCTGAAGTCATAGGACACTGAGCTGTCTATCCTTCTCCATCCACTGTCCCCAGATAGGCACAGATGAAGATGACTTTGTTGATGACCTGCCCCTGGTGCATTGTACAGAAGCCCGAAAGGAGATATCTGGTCACCCTCAGGAGCCTCTGGTTGGGGGTCCCCTGTGCAACCTCACAGAAAAGACTTGCGACAATTTCTGCCTGGTGCTTGAGGCAATACAGGAGAACCTGATGGAGTACAAAGAGATCCGAGAGGAGCTCAACACGTAGGGGAGGGTGCTGGGGAGGCAGAGCTGGGCCTGGCCTCAAGCCCATTGTCTAAGTAACTTGCCCAGAGTTCAAGCTTCCCAGTTGGGAGTGCTGTGCTGACCTTTGGCTGTGCCTTTCTCCCAGGAGGGCCCTGCATGATCTGGGTCTCCCTTAGGGATGCTTCTGAAGCAGTTAAGGAGGGAGGAGGGGGGAAGGAGGAGGATGCACACTGGGGAAGAGATAGAAGGGCCGAGCTGAGGAACACAATGTCTCCTTTACCCCAGGATCCTGGAGGAGGTGCGCTCCATCCGTTACAACCAGGAGCAAGAAAAGGAACTGATGCATAGGCACACCTCCAAAAGCCTGTCCTCCCAGAGTGATTCCTCCTTAGACATGCGTGAGGTGGCTACCCAGCAAGACTTGATCTCTGCACTGGTCAGCAGGGAAAAGGTGCACATTTCCCTTCCTTACCTAATCAACACCCCCCCACCGCCACCCCTGTACACACACACACACACACACACACACACACACACACACACACCAATACCCACAACAGGCACCACAGCCAAGATTTCCTTCCTCTTCCTGTGGACCCTCCAAAATCCCCACTCATCTCAGCTGGCACCAACCATTTTGGTCAAGTCTTATCATTTCCTTCTCAGAGAGGCCCTGCCTCCTCCCATCAGGCTCCACCCTAGGAGCCACTTTTTTTCCTCTAGCACCTATAGACCTATCTTTTCTTAGAGTGGCTCTTGCCAGCTTGGCTGTTCCTTGGAAAAAGGACCCTTGTCAACCCGTCTAGGATATATATATATATATATATATATATATATATATATATATATATTGTGTGTGTGTGTGAGTGTGCACGCACACGAGCGCCAGCCTCTTATCTCATGGGACTGGAGTAGAATGGAATCTTAAGAATGCCTGAACTCCCCAATGCAAAGTGGGTTCTAGGCATGCTAGAGTTACCCAGATGGGGCAGCTGTTGAGGCAGGATGAGGAAAAGGCAGTCTGTCCCGTCAAGGTAAGTAGAATGACAAAAACCCCTCTTGGTTTGCAGGTTCATGATTCTAGCACAAATATGCTTAGCAAACACAAGTTCAGCTTCTAAGAAGGCAGAATGGGAACCAAGGGACCTGCACACACATGGGGCCAGCTGCTACATCATCCTGCATCCCTGATCAGCGGAGCCCATCCCTCTCCCTTACACCTGGGTGGCAGAGGCCATGGGGCTGGGATGGTGGCAGCATTTTCATGGCTTATGCCTGTGAGCCTGAGGTCCAGATGAATCAGGATGAAGGATTCTGGATGAGAATGGAAGCCACACAGCAAGGATGAGCACAGAAAGGGGTAGCCAGGCTTTGGCCTAACAATGAGTATCCCTGACCTATGCTCCAGCTGGAGCTGGGTGGGCCCAAGCTCTGAAAAGAGCCAGGCCAGTAAGGCTGTGTGCACTGAAAATAAAATTCCGTGTTATAATAAATGTGTCTGACTGGTTAGTCTCAACCTGTTTTTTACCCTCGCCTTTGGTCTGCTAGGGAAGATAGATCGTGTTTCCTAAAAGCCTGTTCGCATGGGGCTTAGTAGCTCACATCTTATTCCCATCACTGGGAAAGAAGAGGCAGGAAGATCAAGAATTCAATATCATCCTTAGCTACACTAGTGGAAGGCTGCATGCGACCTTGTCTCAAATAAAACAAAACAAAGCGAGCAAACAAATAAAAAAACTACATACCCGTTTGTGCTGAATGTGGTGGCATAAGCACACAATCCCAGCACCTGAGAGGCTGTGAGACAGGAGGCAGAGGCTAGCCTGGGCTTCTTGATCAGTTTGACTTTAATGGTAGAGATATAACCCCTGACCTTAGAATCCTAAATTTGGGGTGAGGGTGCAGTAACCCGGCCTCATGGTTGGGAGCCCCTGTCAGATGAAAGAGGGTCTCCTCTCCCCTCCCCTCCCTTTCCCTCCCCTCCCCTCTCCTCTCTCCCTGTCTGAATCAGTCTTCACCCTGCGGAACCCTTGTCTGATAGGTTCACCACTGACCAAATTGTACAGGTGGCTTTACTCTTGGACATCAAAGGATGGCTGGTTAAAGTATGAGTCCCCAAAAGTCTCCTGGAGAAGAGCACTGAGGCATGCTGGGAGGAAGTGGGAGGATTTTGTGGATCAAGTCAAATCTGCTGGGAGAATTAGGGCCTGTGGCAGCAGTAATAGCTGAGAGCTTACATCATGATCTGCAAGCAAGAGGCAGAGAGATAGGATACTGGGGATGGGGAGGCTTTTGAAATCTTTTTTGTCTTGCTTTTCTGAGACAGGGTTTCTCTGTGTAGCCTGAGTGTCCTGGAACTCACTCTGTAGACCAGGCTGGCCTTGAACTCAGAGCTCCGCCTGCCTCTGCCTTCCAAGTGCCATTGCCCAGCGAGGCTTTCAAAATCTCAAAGCTACCCCTGGTAACACACCTCCTCCAACAGGGCCACACCTCCTAATCCTTCCCCAGTAGTTCCACCAACTGGAGATTCTTGTTCAAACCACAGAGAAAGCTGGATCTGTGTGAACAAAAGTCTGGATTCTCAAGTGTCAACTGGAAACCCAGAAGGTGGAAGACCAGTATCCCCGACACCCTGAAACTCTGTTGGTGGTAACAGGGAAGCTGTGTGGCCTAGTACTGTGCCCTGCTGTTCAGGGGCCTTGGGAACATTCACTAGTTGGAATGGTAGTCTCCAGAGGTCCTCTGATGGCAGCCAATGGGAAACACTGCCTCATCCCTGCCCCTGACTCTGCATCAGTACCAGATCTTACTCTAAAAAGCCGCCCCCCCCCAGGCCCACAGTGTGGGCAGGGTGCTCAGCAGGATGAGAGGTGGCACTGGCGGTAACAGTGCTATGCTGTCTTGCAGTCTGTCCCTTTGTTTGGGCCAGAGTTCCTTCCTAATGCTCCCAAGGCTATCCACCAGCATAGACATGGGCAGCCGCTGGCTCCTGCTGCTCCTGCTGTTCCTAAGTAGGGACAGAGTCTTCAACCTGCCCAGTAAGTACCCAACACCCTTTGCATCCTCCACTTGTAGCTTCTGATTGGCCAGAGAGGGGAAGAAAGTGCTAAAATCCAGGTAATACCTCACTAGGGGAAGCTCAGCCACTCCCTGACTAACCTCTTTAGCTATCGAAAGGGTGTGGGGGGAGAGGCACCAGGGAGTTTTAAAGACAGAATGGCCTCCATGCCTCTGGTCTCTCCCAAGCATTTCTTCCAGAGTGCTCTGCCTGCCTGCTCCATCTCATGTCTTCTCACTTGTCTTTCTGTCTATCCTTCCCACTTGAGACGGGTTAATAGCTTGGGCTTTCAGCAGGCAGAGGGCTCAGCTGTTCAGACTCTGTCGCTTTGCACTTCTCTGTCAAGCAATCTGATGCCTCATAGTTTGAGAAAGGAAGGCGTTCTGGGTTCTGACTGAGTTCCTAGGTCAGTATGAGGGAAGATCCAGGCAAGACGCTGTGCAACAGGAGCTCCCAGGTCCACGACTTTGCCCAGGGATGAGAGCCTCTTTGATAAAACCCTGAAAGCACACAGGAAGGACAGGGAAGGCAGCAGAGGGCTGGGAGAGGGGGATGATGGCAAAAGCAGGTCTCCCGAGTGGAGTGCCAGCCTGTACCAACCGCTGGGCAAAGCCTTCTCTTGCCTTATCTCAAGACTCCCAGGGGCACAGTGAAGTAGGTCCTGTATCAGCATCCCTGCTTTGCTGTGGTGGAACCTGGAACTCAGAGTCACGTGTTGACTTCCATGTCCTCCCAAGCACACAGTAGGGTTGGTCCCCAGGTCTGACTCCAGAGTCACACTCTAGGTCACCAAGTTTAAATTCTCAGCCTATTTCCAACTAAAATCCCAATCGGGGTTTGCAGTCTAAAATAAGCTGACTCTCCTGTGTAAGAAGGAAGGAAGGAAGCTGACTGTGGCAGCACACGCTGTAAAACCAGCACTTTGGAAGTGGAGGGTCTCAAACTCAAGGTCATCCTAGGCTACAGTCTCAAAGAACCCAAAATGGAAAAAATAATAAATAACATAAAAGAAAAAGGCCAACAATATCCAGACAATAGTGTGTGTGTGTGTGTGTGTGTGTGTGTGTGTGTGTGTGTGTGTGTGTGTGTGTGAAGAAGCCTGAAGAGCAATTGGTTGACCCCTTGGAAAAAGCATGAAGTCAGATCAACTGTAGTGGTACATGCTTGTAATCCCAGCCCTGGGAAGATAAAGGGTCAGGTATCAGACCTTATGGAAAATAGAGAAGTGTAGAAGAAGGCAGCAGGGTCCAAAAACCTGGGCCCTCAGCCCACTGAAAGCACAAGCTATTACCAATGTGTTAGAGCCCCCCAGAATCAGAGTTATAGGCCACTGTCAACCATGCAACATTGAGGCATTGAGGACAGAACTTAGGTCCTGTAGAAGAGCAGCAAATGCTTTTAACTGTGAGCTATCTCTATAGCCCCCACCCACAGCCCCCCCCACCCGCAGCCCCTGCAATTTTTTGAAGAACAAACTGGAAGACTGGGGTAGAGGTTGGGGGCGGGGTGTAACCTACCAAATACTGACACCTTCTATAAAGTTGGCAGTCAGATGATATGGTGTTGCTGCAGGTGTACAGAAGAAACCTAGCTAATTGAAAGAGCATGGAGCTCTGCTGGTTGCAGAAGACAGCTTGGCATGGCAAGATGGCCACCTTATACGTTTTCTAAGTATAAAGTCAGATCAGGTGTGATAGATAGTACGTGCCTGTGACCCCAGCCCTGGAGAAGTGCTAGGATCTAGATTTCAAGGCTAGCTGGACTACCCTGTCTCAAAGTGTGTGTGTATTGGGGAGCATGCAGTTCAAGCCGATGGAGATGTCTCTCCTTGCAAATAAAAACTTGAGTCCCTCTAATAAGCCATTAGCCGGGGCTTTTGTGGCTTCTCTAACACTGAGCCCAAGTATGCTCACTATGCTGAGTGGGACATGGAGACCAGAGCAAGAGGTGGGTTTCCACAAGGTCACATCGAGTATGTAATAGAACCAGTTCCCACCCCAAGCCTCCCTCCTCTCGGCAAGCATTCCCAGCAGCTGTTACCTATTATGACCCCTCATCTCTGTACAGCTGTTAGAGATTGGTGCAAGTAGGAGAGGGGTAAGGCCAAGGCCAGTGCCTCTTCAGTGTATTGATGGGAAGGAGGGCTTCGCCCATGCTGGGTCGCCTTCCATCCTCTGAATCAGCCCTCTGGTAATTGCTAGGAATCTAGAGCAGGGCATCGGTGATGGCCTTTCTGCCCATTGCCCCTGGGAAAGAGCAAGGGTTCCTGGGGAACCTAGTTCAGAGCGTGTGTGAGGGCTTTCCTCTCAAGGGAGAGTGACTAGCTCAGTCTTGGAAATTAAGTGATGTTTTTGTATGGCTTCATGATGCAGTAGAGAAAGCAGACTAAGTGTCTGGTTTAAAAGGCCACATCACTACTTCCTTGGAGTGTGGCCTTGTATAGATGTCTTTACCTGTTTTAGCCTTACTTTCCATGATCTAGTATGTAGAAATAATAGGCCTTGCCTCAGAGAGAAAACAGCATATCAGTTCTGCTCTAGACAAACGAGAGTGAAAGACGTCACAGCAGCATCAACCTCTAGTGCTTTAAAACAAATTCACTTTTATTATCAGTGTGTGTGTGTGTGTGTGTGTGTGTGTGTGTGTGTGTGTGTAGGGTTAGAGTGCATCATGGCTCAGTTATGGAAGTCAGGTGATATGCTTTAAAATAAAATTATTGCTATTACTACCATTGTCATTCCCCACCATGTGAGTGAGTTCTCTTTGACTGGAATCCAGGGATTAAACTCAGGTAGCCAGCTCTATGTGGCAAGTTCCTTCACCTGATAAACCATCTTACCAATGCTGCTTTGAAAAAAAAATGTAAGAAGTAAAATTGTTGGGGGTTTTGCTTTGCTTTTGCTTTGTTTGAGACAGGATCGCTCTGTAGACTAGGCTGGTCTCAAACCCACAGAGATCGGCCTGCCCCTGCCTCCTCACTCTGGGCTTGCACATGCCCAGCCTAGGTTGTTGGGGCTTTTGTTTGTTCTTTGTTTTTTGACACAGGGTCTTGCTATGTAGGCCTGACTGAGCTCAGACTTGCTGCAAGGCACTTCTCCCCCACTTCCAAGGTGTTAGATACCAGGCATC